CGAAGGGTTCGACGTTTCCGTTTTCTAGCTAAGAGCCGGCCAGGCCAGATTTCGCGCAGTTGCTAGTCGGTTCTCCCCATTCCAGTCCCGGGTCAGCGATCGGCTCGTGATTAAGAGCGGGCCTAGTGAGAGTCTGCTCTTGTAGGAAAAACCTTTTATTAAGTCAGCAAGAACAAATGAAATAAAATCTGTTTATCGGATCCTGCCTACCGCGCCGGGTGCTAGCAAAAACAATGTCAAGGTCTCCAGGGCGCTTTTCGGATTGGACAAAAACGAGGCGTCTGCCCGGACGACACGCCATGAAGACTGCCTAATGCTCTCCATCTACAACGCCAGGACAGTCTCCACAAATGCCGACCTCCACGCTCTCCTCGACGCTGTAGAGCACCTCAACTACCACGTTATCGTTCTGCAGGAAAGAAGTGCAGGAAGAAGGAAGTGCGACAGATGAGTGATGTGACATTCATCATTCTTAATGTGAAGGTTCCTTCACGAACTTTGGAGGCGTTGGCTTTGTCGTCCACCTATTTAACGTCCATCTTGTCTATTCGCGTGAGATCCTATCACCGACTAGCTATTCTACGACTACGCCCTCCACGTCAGAAGACCATCAGCATCAACAACTACTACTCACCAACATCAGCAGCTAACGACTCAGAACCAGATGCCTTCTACGAAGACGTTTAGGAGGTCGTACGCAACGAGAAGTCTTTTTACAAGTTTGTCGCGGGCGACTTCAATGCGACAATTGGGACGCCACTAGAGAAGAAACATAGGATCGAGAAGTTTGAATATGAACCCGGAATGCAACCGTTTCGTTGTTCTCCCAGCAGCACGACTTTTCCATGGAAATTCCATCTTCATGACGAAAAAACATCGTTGGTCGACATGGGAATCGCCTGAGCTCATATCAAGTTGTGACTGGCCAACGAGGAGGACAACGTACGGCTCGGCTTTTGAAAGCATTGCGAGCCTGCGGAGAGTGCGCCTCAGTGATTTGTGAGAAGAACCTGGAACGCATTTCAAAGACCATCAAGGAATGCTCGAAGGAAGAAGATTTTTGAGGCAGGATCCGAATGTAATCCATCTCGAGCGACTGATAGCTAACGCCAGTTGTAGAACAGCTTTATAGGAGGATACTGAAAGCAAGGGAGAATACTGGAAGCAATGTAGAGACGAAGTCATAAGAAGGCCGAAGTGGCCTTCGCGAAAATCACTTGTCGCTGGCCGCACCAGTAAACGAAGGCGGGACTCCGACTTCTTCCCGATACAAGATGAAATCTATCGCGAAGAACTTCTACACCAACCTCTTCCGCTCATCAACACCCGTGCCGATGCCCGTTGTTCCCGCTGGAGAAGTACCACCACGAATTCTACTTGCTGAAGCGAGCACGGCGATTCAAACCTTGAAGACGTCCACGGCTCCAGGACCAGATCATCTTTCCAGTTCCTGCGAGCTGGTGGACAACGTCTACACTAGATTTCGCGTCGCTTCCGACATCTTACCTTCGAAAAAAAGGATTTTCGACTAATGGAGAACGCCTCAAGAAGGATGAACGGAAGAATCTTCGGAGCTACCGTCCAATGCCTGATGAGTGTGCTGTACAAGCTTCACAAGATTATCCTCGTTCGCATAACTACATTGAATGAAGCCCAACCTCAAGAACCAGCTGGATATCGCAAAGAATTTGGCTGCATAGACCACATCCAGACGGTCTTGAGGATCGTAGAAGTCTGCCGGAAGTATCAACTGCCTTTCGTCCTAACCTTCGTCGACTTCGAGAAAGCCTTTGACAGCGTCGAAATCAACGCAATCCTGTTTGCGCTAGTTGATCAAGGAGTGGACCCAGCTTACGTTAGGACGTTAGCCGACTACTATAAGGACTGTACAACGAGGATGCAGCTGTTCCATCGCCCTCTGACCATCCCAATTGAGAAGGGGGTCCGACAAGGCGACACTATCTCGCCGAAGCTGTTCACCGCGGCCTTGCAGTGGGCGATGAAGTCACTGGACTGAGACGAGAGAGGCATTCGAGTTGATGAGAGATTCCTGCCCAACCTTCGTTTTGCGGACGACATTGTTCTCTTTTCGAGCAGTATCGCTGAAGCAGAGACGATGCTGAAGGAACTAAACGAAGTAAGAAGATAGGAAAGCGATTAAATTGGAAGAAGACTCGGTTTATGAGAAACGCTTTTTGCGAAGATGCAGAAATGGAATTGAAAGGCTTTTCTATCATGGAGACGTCCTCTTATGTGTATGTCGGACGTTCAATTAACACTGGGAACGACTCGAGGGGAGAACCTAACAGGAAAATAGGAGCAACCTGAACAGCCTTTGAGCCTGAGAAGGAAGCCACCAATCAACTAACAACCCAAAGCTTCGTGCCCACTTGTTTGACTCAACCGTTCTCCCGGCGCTCTGTTACGCAGCTGAGATTTTGTACTAACATCGTAGCCACGTCGCTTTGAGGACCATCCACAGAGCGCTAGAGCGTAGTCTTCTAAAAATGACCTGATACAAGCAACATCTAGTCGGACTTCACAGTACGAATGTGAGAAGAATGTCCCGTCTTTGTGACCCACCGGAATACGTTGCGAAATCGAAGCGTCGATGGGCCGTTCACATCATGGGAAGAACAGACGACAGATGGATACAGAACATCTGTGTGGATTCCTCGCAAAGCCTAACGTCACCGAGGAAAACCACCAACGGGGTGGGCAGACGCGTTCGTGGAATAAATGGACCAGCTGAGAAATCAGCTGAATATTTTCGCCCCTGGAATTCGTGGACGCAACTGACGTAACCAAGAAGATGATGTCTGAAGCGAGGGTCAGGAAATAATGGGAATTTCTGTGCTGCGGCCCGCACATCAGGTGAAGCGGGTCATCTAAGTATCCAAGTAAGTAAGTGTAGCTGAGCCATTTGCAAGTAAATGAATATGAGCGCAAGACGGAAGAGAGACTGCTTTAGATAAAAGCAGTGTCCCTCTTAAAACAGACTTGGTAGATTGAACTATTACTTTCAACTTCAGACTAAAAGCGTAAGTAGATGCATTCACTCCAAAAAAAGCTCTGCTGCACAATCGCACGAAGACGCTTTGCTGCTACAAAAAACGACACTGCGATAAAAAAGCACGCGCTGATAAAAAGACACCTGTAGAAGAAATAGCAATGAAATAAATGCGCATGGAAAAGGGCCAGGTTTGAGATTGAAGGCTGAAGCAAGTTTGACGTCTCACCGCTTGCTTTTCATTTAAGGCAACTGGCTTTACTATATCGATATCGCTTACTTTTGCTTCATCGTTTTCTTGTGAAATGACTGCCACTTCTAAATAAAGAAGTTCATTAATGCACACATAGTATACTAAGAATATGATGTAAATACCTTGTTTATAATCACTATAGTTTCAAATTGTATAAAGTGCATTTGAGCTCGGCTAAAATGGATAGGAAACGCAATAGGTACTAATCCACTTTTCACGGCTCAGAAATGCAAAAATCATGTTCCACCTAATTCTAGACAAAAAAAAATTGACGTGTTGATCACAAGATTGACTTTCCTCTAGTCTGTTGTGGAGATACAGCAGGCTCGTAGAGTGGAAAAAGTCTCAGAATAAGTGTAACTTTACATGCACGAGTCGTCTGCCAGGGTTATTACGAATGACTTATCCATTGCTGACATGAATTCAATCTGTGAATCTTCGTAGAGAATGGATATGATTTTCGTGTTTGGCATGCCAATATCCCCTTTATAGAAATTGCGAATTCTATTTTGGTCTTATATCATATGACTAAACACAATAAAAAAGGCCCTATCAAGCGAAATGAATGTCTTTGTGATAAGCACGTCAAAGAGATCATTGTACAAACTTGTGGCAAAATCTGGTATCTTGCATCGAGTTGTGAAAATAGAATATCACGGAATTCTAAAAACTTTTGAGAAAGACAGTTATTAGCGCGACTAGCGTTGTTGACCACGCTCCACTTTATCACCAGGTTTCCCGCCATAGCTCCTGTCCCTAAAACTTTATGGACGCGGAAGCCGTTGAGTCGGGCAAGTAACATTCCTATCAGAATGAATTATCCGGGGTTTTTAGCGCCGACTTTATTGCAGTCCCGCCCCAAAAGCTATGAAATTTCTTGAGGTTGACATTGCCTAAAAGTGGCTTTCATTGGAAAAAAAATTTCCGCCCCCTTTCCTCCATGGAAAGAAAAATCACCCGGACCGCTGCTGATTTATGGAGGTATGAGTGGGAAGCTTTAGTCTGGAAACTTTGTGGTTGATGAGATGCAACTGCTTACGTAACGTGATGCATCTAAAACTACTACAGAGAAAAAAACGCTCTTTTACGATGTATGGATATATAGCATTAGTAGGATTTGGGGAACTTTCTTGCAAAAATATTTTGAGAACATTTTTGGCCAGGACTCGTAATCAAACATTTGCACCATTCAGACGAAGCCATCCTTTGGTCAAGGACAGGACAGGAGCATTTTGTTGTAAGGCGCAAGCGGCAAAATAGCAACTATTGAGACCACGTTTAGACAGGCCTTCGCATTCAGATGCTGGCAGGTTCTCAATGTATTAATATTGCTTGCTACCAGCTACTCCGCCCATGTGTAAAAAGTTTTTGGAAAGCCTAATTGCGAAAGTAAGGTGTTAAAATCGCCTATTCCTTTTCTCTCAAATCGCTTTCTCTATGAATAAAAACGCTACAAATTTATGACACGAATTGATTAGTCTGACCCGCCTATACTTTGAGCGTTAGCTATCGTAGCTGGCGTTATAACATTGGAACATGGTGAAGTTTTATGTTGTCTGGTTTGTAGCCTGCTATCACTGCTTGAGTACGTGACAGAAAATGTGTGATTCACCTAAGCGCTTTAAAACGTCCTCTGCAATGTCATGCCTATCTTTCTTGCATTAACGTTCTTTCTGTCGGTGGTTGTTAATTTGCTTCAATATACAGATCCTCGAACATCGGTTATGTTTGTATCCTAGCACAGGGTCGATTTAACGCATTCTGAAGTTTGAAAGTGCATATGATACTCAAGCGTATTTGGTTATTGCCAATCTTAGCCGTTGGTTTTCTTCTAGCGGGTATGTTTAGTGGGTAAGTACCAGATAATACTCAGAGTAGTAACTAAAACGACTATCACCAGTATACCTAACCAGGAAGAATCCCAGGTCGCCGTGGCGGTTGGAACGAAATGCATATCATTCGGTGATTCTTATTGAGCTGACTCCAAATCCTACCTCCGTATTTGCGCGGTTCTCTCGAAGAAGTTATAAGCAATGATGTTGAATGTTTGAATTTGTCAGTGCCACAGAGCCACAACTTCAAGAAGTGACTGTTCAAAATTATTTATGTTGTGGTGTATGCGTGTATTCCTTCTAGTCAGTACACTCAGCACCATGCTTACGCATTCCCATGCTGGAAATCACATCATGCATTAAAACCTTGATGACTTCACACTTTTGAAAGCTCATAATTTCTAGAGGAAAGCGCAGCAAATATGGGAGGTAGATTTAGAATCACTTCAGACAGAATAATGATGTGCATTTTGTTCCAGATCGCCACGACGACCTAGGATCATTCCCTTGCTAGCAACTGTTTCTTACTCATGCTTTTTTGATTCGACTCTTTAGGTATATTATCGGAACTACTAGAGGCGATTTTCCTCCAATTCTCCCCTTCATTAGGTCAGAAATCAAAAATAAAGGCTTGCTTTACTTTCAAAAATTTGAATTAAAGTGATGGAGGTGCTTACTCACCCGAAGCTTCAGTTTTTGGACAACTTCTCAACATCGCTGGTTTTCTTTGTAAGTTCGCATAATATGGCAAGTTACAAACCAAATGCGTTATCACAGATATCATTACAATTTACATCATACATCAACATATTTTCGAATTCTATGGGCATTATCAGAAGTATGAACGGACAAAGTGGTGGTATGGGTGCCAAATACTGATGTATATAGGATTTGCAAGCGCTATAGGACTAATGTTGGTTGCAAACTTTCGTGTAAGTTCAAGGCTGTTTCTCGAATCTGCATCACCCGTCATTCTCCATGATCAGGAAACGGAGATTATAGTTGTGCACATAATTGGTGCTTTATTGGCTTTCTTCTCAATGGTCATCTATGGATGGGGACATGTGATCTTCGAGTAAGTATTCAAATATTAAGAAATTAAACTTTTTTATAAAATAAGCAAGTGATAGAATTTCTTAGCTTTGTTAGAAGTATCAGAGGTCTTTTTGTAATCACAAGCAAATTTGTTGTAAGAGCTTTGCGCAGCATATAAGAGATACAACACTTATTTTGGCAGTGTTGATTGCTCTTCCATTCATAATGAAATTCTTCATAAAAGCACTTACGTGCATTTGGACGGACATGTCTTGCGAGATGACACTACGCTTAAATATGTGTAACTATGCGAAATGGAACCAAAACGGTTCTCAATTTCAGTGATTTTGACGGAGAGCAATTGCAAATTTTTAGAAAACGAGTTCTGAAGGCTGGCCTCAGCTGTAGAGCCACCTCTTTTTTCAAGTACGACTACATTCTTTGAAATTATAATTTATTGTAGATTCGCAGCATCAAAATATGAAATTTTTGTTACAACTGAGAGCTGTCGCCTTTTGAAAAGAAAATTTATGCTGCATGTTTTGCTTCAAAATGCATAAAAAGTCACATTATCTTCAAAAACTGCTGCTTCACCGAATCTTCAAGCACTTGTTGAACTCGGATGAGCTCCATAGGATTCGCTGAACCATCGCAACGGAAGCGGTGAAATGTGCTTTAGTCAGTCTTGCGTAGTCGCTGTTAGTGACGAACGAGCCTAGACTTTACCGCGGATGTACGGAAGCTTCAAAGCAACCAAACTCAATTTCTTTCGTATGAAAACTCCTGATCGGGAGTTGACGCTTTGTTTGTATGGCGACGTATTCATGCAAAAGGTTGTCAAAATCTCCGCAAGGACACAATTGCGACATTGGCAATAAAACTGTTTAGCCGCAGTTGAGTTGTGCCCGGTAGATCAAACATGGCTCCAAACTTCACTTTTTTGACAACTCATCGAGTCAGTTCTTATGGAAATGGTAGGAATATTAGAATCTTAAAGTTTTGAGCGGGTTTCCGCACGATTGTGTGTTCAAAGTGGGCCATGGTTATGCACGGTGCGCCATCTATTATTGAAGGAACAGGGCTCAAGGCTGGACTGAAATTTTTAAAGTTGCGACAATGTTCCGGCAATGCGCACGAGTTTATCAATGTACAACGACGTGCTGTGCACATCACACAACTTTTCATTTATTATCACTCAACTTTTGTGGTTCGAAAGCTCGTCGTGAAGGTGAGGATAGGACTCGTTCGTCAATATCAGCGACTACGCAAAACTGATTCAAGCGCCCTTCACCGCATTCATTGCAAAGATTCAGCGAGTTCATCCGAGCTCAACATGTGCTTGAAAATTCGGCGAAGCAGCAGTTTTTTGAAATAACGTGACTTTTTATGCATTTTGGAGCAAAAGGTGCAGCATGAATTTTAAAGGCGACAGTTCTCAGGTCAACAAATGTCTTATATTCTGATGTTGTGAGCGTACAAAACATTTTTGCTTCAAAGAGTGTAGTAGTATTTGAAAAAAGAAGGTGGCCCTATAGCTGTGGCCAGCCTTCGGAACACCTATTTTCAAAATTTTCAATTTTTTCTCGGTCAAAACCAATGAAATTGAGAGCTGTTCTGGTCCATAATATAACGTTAGTTTACATACAGAGGCTTTTTAGAAAATTTTATAGAAAATAGGACAGATTACAGTGATTTTTAGGGTGCCTCCATAGCTATGGCCAGCACTGCATCTCCTTTCGCGAATTGATTTTTGAGTTGCCTCAATTTTTCTGAGATAGTTTGCACTTGCAAATGTTAGAGTTATCAAATGCGAGCGATTATTTTTTTTGCTCTTTCGATTATAAGATTTGAATAAATGAATAACAGTGCTTTAAAATCCTGTCTTACTATCGCCAGGTCGCAAAAGAACAGGCCGTTTAGTACTGAAGTTGTAATGTGTCCAAATTCAAAAGTATAGTTGAAAGAGAAGCTCATAAATTTTTTTGAAAAGCGTTTTGCAGGTAATAAGCTTAACATCAACGTTTGAGGATGGACTTTACACGTAATACTTAAAAAGCCACTGTCATGTATTTTTCCAAAAAGAAAAAGCGCGTTATCTTAAACATTGCCGCCCAGGTAGAGTGGTCAAATTCTGAGTTGAGAAGAGAAACCTTTTAATGGCAATATAATCGGTGCAGAAGTTTTTGCTTAAGCAGTAAAATTCATAAGAATTGTAGCTGGCATTAGTTCAGTTCAGATACGCTGTTTTGCCGCGTTTGGTGCCACTGTTCTTGTGTCATATTCGAGTTATCATCATGCTTGTTACTACAGCCTGCCTCATAGTAAGTAAGTACAAACTCACAAAACATTTCAGTGTATGCTCTCATTTTTTCCTTATGCGTCATTTTAGAAGTTTTGTCGCAAAGAACGTATGCGATTCTGCTAGTTTCTCAAAGTTTATTGTTTTAGACCTTGTAGCAGGATTTTCGAATGTCTTTGACCAAAAAGACGCAGGCGAATTTCCTGGGTTCAATGACATGAATCGAACGAAAGACTCACCGGTGAGTTATCAACTCACTCATAGAATCCTTGACTTGGTAACTTTTTCATTAGTTCTACACGCGGCTGATAGTGGCTACCAGTACGGAATGGGGCATGGTTCTAGCAATGCAAATATTCATACTAAGCTTCGTGTTCGAATTGCGGTCGTTCCATGTGCAAGCCCCCAAAGTCATCCTCTTCAAACAAGAAAATGGAGAGATGCACACAAAGGAGATTCTATAGCTAGAGTCGTACGAAAGAAACTTCAACATTTTCAAACTCCCTTTACTTACAACTTGTTTTTTTTAAATGTATTCAAGGTCCTCAGTGCAACGATTGCAGATGTGTGAGCAAGGTTCATTGTGTAATTGGCAAAATGATAAGCTAGGATTGTGATTTGGCTTACTGACGAAGCATAGTCTTTTAATAAATGCTGACGAAAAAAAACTGTGTAAAAATTCATCGTATTTCACGCTTCAAACCGCGAAGTTGCGGTTGAGGCTCCACGAAAAGGCTAAGATTACCTTAAGATATAGAGCCATCAAAGAGGGGTTATCCAGGGCTTTGTACCGGTTGTTAAGCTCATAACTAGGTCGGTATAATTGTGAATGAAGCAAATATAATTGAGTGATATCTCAAAAACTCAAAAATTGAAATGGCTTCTTCATAGCCTCTTTGCGCTAAAGAAGTCTGGTGAGATTTTCCTAGAAATGAAGGATACGTTTTTCAGTTAGCCTTTTTTAGAATGCAAATGAATTTCAAAAGTTCTGCTGTTGCATTTTAATGAAACTGCGAGAAAATTGCGCCTATATCTTGAGGAGTCACGCACGAATATTTATTTATTTATTTAATATGCTGGTTCATCTCGTTAAGGAGTGATTCTTAACGCCGACGACGTTATCAGTGCCCCCAATCGTGTTATGACGATTGGACTGAAATACAGTTTTGCAAGGTTTCGCTCAGAATCCGATCAGAGCCAAATGCCCCATCGGCTCTGCTGTTTTTCCTCTCTGCTTGTCTGCGCCTGCATGTGTTGCTCGCTACTCGCTATCCACGCGGGCACGGGCATTTACCTCTGGTGCCCCCTTTTCTTCTTGTTCTGAACCCAATCCTAGCAGACTGTATATCCTATGGTATCGCGTGATCTCTACTTTCACGATGACAATGTCGCTAAATCCCACTTTCAAATTTGACCTAGAAATGGCAAAAACGTGTTTTCAAAAATCTCTAGTTGTTCTTTAGTTTAGCTCTTTTCTCCCTGTTTTCTCTTGCGTATTTAATAGACCTTGCCTCTGTCTCAATGCGAATGGCCGAGTATACTTTTTCGACTGTGGTAAAATATTCGACAAAAGCTTCATGAGTGCGCTTTCGTTTATAGTTTTTTTTGGAGTTATTAATCGAACACTTCTTTTTTCTTGTGGGTATCTTGCTAGAATGATGAGCAGAACAAAGCTGACGGCGTTGCAAAAACAGAAACTACGAGACGCGTCAAAAATTCATAAGACACAAAACTGTACTGGCAACCTGCATTAGTAAGCAAGACTTTGCATTTGCAGAACTTATTCTTTTCTTGTTTGTCTTATTATAGATAAATATCACTCCAGAACGAAGTTGTTTTTGAGATGATCCAGGAAAAAGAAATCAGCTTTTCCTCATTCCTTGTTAGCATTGCCTGGGATTGAGGAGAAAACTAGCAAATCGCAATGCCGCTGGAGGAGAGTTAAACTCATTGCAGCATTCTATCCCGTTTTTGGAAGGTTTTACCGCTTTTGCTATGCGTTTTCCAACCTTTTTACTTCTCTGATCTTTCAAAAACAACCTCAACTATTCTGGGGAAGCAAACAGTTGTACGACCTTCACTTTCGAAGCCGCATACACATTAGCATACTTAAAATCAAAAAAATCTCCTTAAATTTTTGCCTATTTCATTGATTTTTTAAATTTTATTGAGTGGCTTTTGTTTTATTGTTTTTGAGAGAGTACGGTAGATTAATTTTTTTTAGTGTTATAAGTTCTATGTTATTTTGCCGTGACCCACAGCACTACTGAGGTTCCACTTTAGAGCACGGTAAGTACTAAGTGTCCATAAATTACACTGATTGATCAAGTCTGAAAATGTGCAATTTCAGATGAACAGCAACAACAGCAATAAGCAACCCTTCAATCGTCTCCTCCTCTGCAGAGTATATACACCTAGTTCATTTGCGTTTCACTGTTCAAAGTTCTTGGTTAAAAAAAATGCAAACTATCTCTAAAAGTATTATCATGTGTAAAAACCCTGTCCATGTAAGTGGCAACGAGATCCTTTTTGTGGTAACGGGTGGGGGAACGAAAGCCGCCAGGTCCAGCCGCCTTTCGCGGCCAGCTGGTCCTTTCGCAGCGTTGTTGCATGTCGTTCCAGGACCAGCAGTCCGCGGAGGCGGCTGGACCTGGCGGCTTTCGTTCCCCCACCCTGTGGTAACTATATGTCGCCGAACGTGGAAGAGTCCCGCGCGGATTGCACGAACGCATGTCCGCGCATATACAAAGGCGCGTAATTGTCGCAAGTGGCCGCCGGGACCGCCCTTTTTCGGCGACATGTAGTCCCCTACCCCCTTTTTGTCGCTAGAAATACATATGCTTGTGACGTTTGTCGTGAGAGATCTATACCATGAGCACAATCGCTCCGTTTCTTTTTTTCTCGTTAAATCGAATTCCAAATTGGCCTATCCGAAACCAGCGAGATTTTGGATAAACCCACGCAAATTTTGCTGTAATTAGCAAAAGTAAAGTGGTACGATCGTGCTGTTTATAGGGTAAATTCGGCTCTTTCCATCACGGGAACCTGCGGTGTTCATCCATTCAGCCCGTTGACCTTGCGCAACTTTTAGCTAGTTTTGATTTTCCTCCTTCTTTCTTTCCTTCTTTCGTCTTCTCTGTCAAATAACACCTTTATAAGTGTCGAGAAGTCTTTCCAGTTCCTGAATTTTTCACGATGCTAACTGAATGTCTACAAATTTTTTAATATCTCGACCAGTTGCGAGTCTCGTAGGAGCAAGCGTTGTGGGGCAAGGTCACGCTGCATCCTCCTGAGGTAGATCCTGAAGTCCATTTGAGTTGCATCGCCTATAATTGCAGCTGCAGGAGTGTATTTTGTACTTATTTGTATTCTTCGTGTATTTACTCATGCATTTTTTTTCAATATTAGATTTCCTATTTTATATAGCTTGAAACGGTATAGCAACAGGGAATGGTTCGATCTGTTGGGCAACGCCAGCTCTTCTGCGGCTGCAATTTGGAGCGACGCAACGCAAAGGGCCCTCAAGATATACCTCAGGCAAAGCGACATAGCTTGCTGCATAAGGCCACACCGCCCGAGTCTCAGTTGTAGGGCTGGGAGGGGAGAGAGCGCGCCTTTTCGGTAAACAATGGCTGCTTATATAAACTAAGGTTGTTTAAAGAATCTTGTTACAAATTATATTATTGTATAGGAAGTGAGACCGTAACACTCTAATTAAAACGCAATACGTTAACCATAACTTTTACCTGGTATAGGTTCCCCTTATGCAGGTTCTGCTGCCAGGCTTCTGAATGTTTTCCTATCTGAGGCTAGATTTCCATCTATCCCATGTTAACGCAGTTCGGTCTTTATTCTGTGCACCACCTTTTCTTCGGCTTGCCCCTGAATCTTTTGATTGGTGCCTCCACCGTGAAAACTGATTTCGTGATGTGGTTTCCCTCCCTTCTGCGTAAATGTACATACATCATAACTTGTCCAGCATCCTGAGCGTTGGGACTACTTCAGTGGCCGTATTCATCAACGAACCTGAGAGTTAAACTAACCCTGGAAGCTAAGTTTAACTTTCAGGGTTCGTTGGCCGTATTCATCAACGAACCCTTAAGCATAGGGTTTACCAAAAACGCGCTCAACCCGTATCGATCAACGAACCTCGAAGGTAGATTCTACCCTTGAGGGTAACCCGTATTCACGAACGTGGCTCATCAGGGTAAATCTAACCCTAGCATGGAGCAAGATTAGGTTCACTCTTACACTTCGTACGAACACCAAGTGATCTCTCGATGCACTACTTACAAGGAAAGGATACTCGGTAACCGTGGACATTAGGAATGGGATGTATACCGTAAGATGCACCTCGAAACGCTGACTCTGGATCTGTGCTCAATATCGGCGAAACAATTTTCTGAAAGAAGTTATGAACTTTTTTCCGCAAGAAATTTGCGTACTTTTGGGTAGTTAAAATCACCAAATTCGTTCTAGGTTACCGTTTAAAGCTATTGAAAGGATTTTAAAAGAATTACTGTTGCGTTACATCTATCTAAATCATATTCAGCATTTGAGAAGGAAAGAAAGATTTTTATTAATGATTTTGACCCTCCGTAGTAGCGCTATTTATCTGTGAACATATAATCATAACTCCATCCAAGTTATCGTTTCGCAGATATGGAAGACAGTTTTTGAATCAGCACTGAAAGGCGCTTTTTTGATATACAAGTCATTATGAATGGCCACGGTCACCAAGTATCCTTCACTTGTTAGACTTAGCGATACTGTTTTGACAAAAAACACATATCTATAGTTACTATCGAGTCAAACTTCCTATGGCTCCTATTCGTGTTTTTATTTGATGTTATCGACCGGTATCATGTATAGCCGAACGTTACAGTAAAAGATTTAGTTTTAAATGAAGTACATGCCCAACTGAAAGCTTTGATATGACAAACTTTAACAAAGCATGGTTGGGGCACTCTCAATCGAAGTTGCACCAATATTGACAATTTTTTACATGATCACACTGTCGTAACTCAACCACAAATGCTTCAATTCAAACAACAAATACTAAAAAATTTTGCCTTTTTATATTAGGTTGGAATGAAAGTTCTCGGACATTGCCTTTAGACAAAGTTTTTGTTTCGATGTAAACATTAATTGGGGCATGCTGCACATCGTTGGATAGAGCAAAGCAGTCTCTACAAAACTATGGTAAGCGCAAGCCTTATCAGTGTTTTCAGTGTATATCAAGCGAAAATCCTAAAGCATAGGTTTTTGCCTTAACCCAGATCTTCAACTTCTATAAATGTTTTGAAACCCCCACATGCTCCAATTTATAGTATACACATACTCACATACTTAGATGCACAGTTCGGATCAAATTTGAGCTTGAATAACAAGAACAACGAGGTAATTGAAAAATGGTAAACTCCGCTCCCACTGATTCTAGGCTCCTCCCACTTGCTTAAATTTCAGCTACAGGCAAGTGAGAATACAGCTACAAATTTTTCCGCATATACGTACATTAGACTTTGAGATATAACAGATTTGGTCTAAAAATATCCGAGAACTTTCTTTCCAACCTAATAATATGATTAGAAAGACAAAAGAGAACTTAACAATGAGATGATTTCAATTAGAAATATGTGTTTGTTGTCGAATAGTATCGTTAGGGTAAGTAGTACATCGAGAGGTCACTTTATGTTTGCACGAAGTGTTAGGGTAGAGTTGATTTTGCTCTAAGCTAGGGTTAAATTAAGCTTGATGAGTCTTGTTCATGAATACGGGTTAGTCGCTCTCGGGGATAAGTTTTACCCTCCAAGGTTAATTTAACCCTCAAGATTCGTTGATGAATACGGTTTTATCGCTTTCCGGGGTAAGGTTTACCATTAAGAGTAGATTTAACCCTCGGGTTAAGTATACCCGTACTTCTCGAATATGGGTTAATCGCTTTCCAGGGCTAAACTTACCCTCCATGGTTAATTTAACCCTCAGAATTCGTTAATGAATACGGCCACAGCTGGCTTGTACAATGTCATTGCGGATGTGGTTTTGGTGTGGCACTTGAGTTCCATCGCTGCATTCCTGTTTCCATGTCTGATGATGCTGAGCCTTTACTCCTCGCTCCGCATACACGGCCAGCACTCGCTGAAAGTGCCGCAAATTTATGAGAACCCTGATCTTCTACTTGCCATTCGATAGACTCCCGGGCGCGTAAAAGACAGGAAATATGTTTGTACAAATCTGTAATTTATTACCTGTGGTAAGCGAAGAACCCCTCAGAAAAAACATGGCAGTTCTCATCTCAGTTTAACCGTAACACTAATTCAGTATACAGTGCTGGCCATATCTCACTCTAAAAATCACTTAATTTGCTCTCTCTTGTTTGAAATTGTCTGAAAAACCAATATACTGTGTGCAAACTAACGTCACATCATTGACCAGGAGAGCCCTTAAAGGCAGTGTCCGGGCAAGAACTCGATTTTGAGATTTTGTGCTTACCCGGGCCTATTCGCTATGCTGAACCCGAAAATCCACATTGGAGAGCGCGAAAACGACGAAAAAGGGCTTTAACACTGGAGGGAAATCAGCAAGTGGGCGGGATCTTCCCCACTGTGAATTCATGCTTCCAGCTTCCAGAGCAATTCTCTCGAATCCGTTAGCTGCTCTGACATCACCACCGATCAAGTGCAAGCGAATGACTCTAAACCGGAATCAAAAAGATCGCCCCCGTAGCTGGGAGCGTGAATTCACAGTGGGGAAGACCCCGTCCACTTGCTGATTTCCCTCCAGTGTTAGAGCCCTTTTTCGTCGTTTTCGCGCTCTACGATGTGGATTTTCGGATTCAGCATAGCGAATAGGCTCGGGTAAGCACAAAATCTCAAAATCGAGTTTTTGCCCGGACACTGCCTTTAATTTCACCGATTTTGGCCGGAGAAAAATTGAAAAATTTGAAAAAAGGGGTTCTCAAGGCAGGTCACAGCTATAAAGCCACCTCTCATTTCTAATCAGTGCTACGTTTTTTGAACCTGAAATTTTATGTACATATACAACATCAAAATAAACATTTATCAGCTTGGAAGGAGTCGCTTTTCTAAAAAGAAGATTCATCCTGCATTTTTTACTTCAAAATGTATAAAAAGTAATTTTTGGAAAAACCGCCTTTTCACCGATTTCTCAAGAAGTTCTTTGACTCGAAGAAGGTCGGACTTCGCCGAGCCTTTGCAATGAATACGGTGAAAAGCGCAGAAGTCGAAATGAGGTAGTTGCTGATATTGACGAACGAGCTTCATCCTCACCTTCACGACGAGTTTTCGAACCGCAGAAATTGAGCTCTAATGCCCGAAAAGCTCTGTCACGTGCGCAGCACGTCGCCCGTACAACGATAGACTCGTGCGCATAGCTTGAACATCATCGCAACTCTCGAAATTTGGTTCCGCCTTGGACGCCTTTTTTTCCATAAATGAGTGGTGCACTCTGCTAACCATGACACACTCTGACCTCTCGATCGAGCGGAAAACCTCTCAAAACTTCAAAATTCTAGTATTCTTGACAGTTTTGTAAGATTTGACTTGAAAAGGAGTTCAAAGCAGTAAAATTTGAAGTCATATGAGATACACTGCGCACAACCACTGCAGGCAAAGAATTTTGAGTTCAGTGCTGCAAGTACGTCTTGTAAAAAGCCTGAATGGTTTTGATGAGTACGTCACCATGCAAAAGGTGTCAACTTCTAAGCGAAAATTTTTGAGCGTCAGAAATCGAGTTTTGCGTCTCACGACTCACGTGCTTACAGTTCGGTAAGATAAGGCTCATTTATTAATATCAGCAACTACGCCATGTTGAGCCGAGCGCTTTTCACTGCACTCATTGCAAAAGCTCTGCGAAGCCTAGGACCTCCATTCGAGTCAAACAAATGCTTGAGAATTCGGTGAAAAGGCGGTTTTTCCAAACGTTATAACTTTTATACATTTTGAAGCAAAAAATGCAGGATGAATCTTCTTTTTAAAAAGGCGACTGCTTATAAGTGTGATAAGCCTTTTATATTTTGACGTTGTATATGTACAAAAAATTCCAGATTCAAAAAACGTAGCACTGATTAGAAATGAGAGGTGGCTTTATAGCTGCCTTGGGAACCCCATTTTTCAAATTTTTCAATTTTTCTCCGGCCAAACCATTAAAATTGAGAGCCGTCCTAATCAATGATATGACGTTGGTTGCAGAATAGTGGTCTCTCAGACAATTTCGAACAAAAGGGAGCAAATTACAGTGATTTTGAAGGTGACTTTATAGCTATGGCCAGCACTGTATGTATGTGATTGTTAATATCTACTGAATTATTTAAGGAAACTGAGATATACAGTGCTGGACATAAATATAAAGCCACTCTAGAAATCGTCGTAATTTGCGATCTTGTCAATGAATCTATCTGAAACCTTGCTGTATTGTGCGCACGTCAATCTGCCATGACCCCTTAAAACGGCTTCCAGTCTTGTTGAGTTTGAACCTAGAAAAACGAAGAAGTTTGAAAAAGCCCTCAATGAAAGCTGGTCAAAATTATAAAGCCACCTAGTTTTTCTAATCACTTTTGCATTCCCTGGCTCTCAAATTTTTTGTACAGTTACATCCTAAAATATGAAACATTTGCAACACCTACGGTCTGTCATCCTACTCAAATAGAAGCGATCACTACATTTTTTGCTTTCAAAAGCATCAAAAGTCATTTTGCTCTAACAAGAAACTGGTTCGAGGAGTTTTCAAGCCCTTGTTTATTTGAAATGATAGTCATAAAATCTACTGAGCATTTTCGATAGACGAGGTGAGAAGCGCTTCCATAAACTCTGCGTAATAGCTGATATTGGCGGACAAACTCCAACCTCACCATAGGGTTGTCACGCATTTACTCCGCAAAACCCGATTTTCAAGCAACAGAAAATACTGTAACGTAGCCATTACAACAGACATACAACAGTGAACTTGTGTGCATGACTAGGAAAAATTGCAGGGTTGAGCACTCTGGTTCAGGCGCAGTTGACATTCACTAAATGTTGAGTGGAGCACCCTGCACAATCAAAGCCAACTTAGATCACGAGATAAAACAGAAGATGCTTAAAACTTCAAAATCTCAACTAATCTCATTCATCGGTTGAAATATGACATGAAACACAGGGGGAAATAAGGAGATCTAGGCCGAATCGAATCTTCTGCTCGCAGGGAATTTTCGTGAAAAGTTTTTCAGATCTCAATCGCAACTGCATCACTAGGGAAAGCCAGAAGTTGTTGCAAAAGCTGCATCACCAGGTAAACAATGTGATAAATCAAGTTCAGCACTTTGTGGACATTGCAAATTGAGTTTTGTGGTTTAAAAGCGTTCCAAGCCTATGGTGAGGTTGGAGTCTGTTCGTCAAAATCAGCGATTACGCAGAGTTTACGAAAGCGCTCTTCACCTCATCTATCCAGAAGGGTCAGTAGATTCCATGATTATCATTTGGAATGAACAAGAGCTTAAAAACTCTTTAAAGCAGTTGTTTGTTGAAGGAGATTGACTTTTAATGCTTTTAAAAGCAAGAAATGCAGCGATTGCTTCTATCTGAGTAGGAAGACAGGCCGTAAGTGTCGCAAATGTTTCATATTTTGGGATGTATGGAAGCGCTCCTCACCTCATCTATCGAAAATGCTCAGTAGACTTCATGACTATCATTTGAAATAAACAAGGGCTTGAAAACTCCTCAAACCAGCTTCTTTTCAAAGCAGAATGACTTTTGACGTTTTGAAAGCAAAAAATGCAGTGATCGCTTTTATTTGAGTAGAATGACAGACCGTAGGAGTTGCAAATGTTTCATATTTTAGGATGTAATTGTGCAAAAAATTTGAGAGCCAGGGAATGCAATAGTGATTATAACCAGGTGGCTTTATAATTTTATCCAGCTTTCATTAAGGGCTTTTTCAAATTTTTTCGTTTTTCTCCGTTCGAACCCAACAAGACTGGAAGCCGTTTTAAGGGGTCATGGCAGGTTCATTTCAGACAGATTCATTACAAGAACGCAAATTACGACGATTTATAGAGTGGCTTTATAATTATGTCCAGCACTGTATCTAAGCGGAGAGACTTCTTTTAGGTGTTGAAAATTCTCAGATTTTGGTTTCACTTTGTTCATAGCACAATTTATGCGTATGTTTGGTGATAGTCTTGCAGAGCTGCTTTCCTCCATCAAGCAGTAGGTCATACTTTTTTTCGATCACCTTACCGCGATAGCGGGAAAGGCAGATTTTCGTATTATGTAGATCTCTGCGCGTCTTGGGTATCAAGTATGATTACGTTCTACCTATTTCCTCTGTGATGAAATTTGACCTCTAATGAAACACTCGTATTCTACACCCTCTGATTGTTTATTAGTTAGGCATGCGTTGGACTGCTCCGATGCACATTCAAAAGATCAGAGAAAAAACACACTGCAGGTAACATACTTCAGGTAGCAAAAAAAATTGACAGAATACAACGACGGGGGTTGAAACCACAGCCATTTAGCTGTGCACAACCTATTTGCGGTTCTTCTTGAAAACCACTCTAGGGGCAGCATAGACTAACCTTAATTCGGACACAAGCGTTATTACAAAAATTTGCATTACGAGCATTACTCCCCATTCACTGATTGCTGCAATTTTTTCAGTCGTTTCGTCCTGCTTCTTGTCGTTTTTATAATGAACAATGATATCTGAAATGATAAAAGGATGAAAATCTTCTGACATTTAATCTTCTCAGTAAGTAAAAAAGCTCGCAACTTTGAGCTAACTCGCATTTACGCTGATATTTTGAAAATCACTAAATTTCTCCTATTGATAATACTCAAATAACCACGTCAATCATTTTGTTTTTGAACTTTGCAAATTTGGGGCTCGAAGGCTTGCTCCCCTATAAAGATTGACCCATAAAACTTTGAAGTTTTTCAGAAGCTTTTGGTGAATTCGTACCGATATTTTTGTTAGAATCTGTCAAGGAGCTTCAGAGGTTGCAACGAGAAAAAAATCAAAGGGGCAGAATTGCTTGAAAATCTTGCGCATAAAGGTCTTTTAGCCTGCTGGTTACGAAAAACAAACATGCTTTGCAAATTAGCGTCTTACTGTAGGTTTACGATAACTAAGATTTGAAAGACATAGACTTATTTAGAATTCACCGGCCCTCTTTTTTTGGAAGAGAGGGTTTCGGTTATTCGTGGCGCTTGATAATCTACGAGGACAGCTCTATCGGGTCGTGCTTGCTAGGTACTTCCTTATGTGTTTCACGCTTCGTTCCATCACTGCAATTACCCGCCTCCACAAAAAAATCGAGCAGACTGAAAACGGAACAGCATTTAGTATATCAGAAGATTCGCCTTGACGAGCTTAGCATAATCTTTTTTTTCGGATTCAAATTCCATTTCTTTTTGCGGATTGCGGTTTTTGCGGTTTTGAGTGCCAATTTTTTGCGTTCTTTGTCGAATAATTAGTGTGGGTGCTGTAGTTGGTTTCAAAACATATTGCTTCTGTGTATTCCAATCATCGGTCACCATTTCTTTTGCGATCATTGGAGGCTCCGGAAAAATGGTGAACTTCTATCTGGCTTCCTTTTAAGAGGCGGCGAGTAACGTTGTTTTTATAGCCGCCTTTTGAATCATTCGCCTTATTTTATTTGAATAAATTTGGGTCAATGTCAATGGTTGACTGCATTGACAAAATGTGAAAAGCAACATTTATGCTGACAAGAAGATGTTTGAAGGAGAATGAGGAGAAGGAGAATGGATGTGTGCTGCAAAAAGCGCCAAACCATGTGACCTTACGATGCTGCTCCTTGCTCATTTTTTAAGATGGCAATCAAGAATATCAAAGACTGTCTAACGCTTATGCAGTAGGAATTTTGTTACTGTGGATGTTGTGATTTGTATAATGTGTGCCCCGGCCAGCCTCCCACAGGTACCTCCGCGACAATCGCAGCGCAGGCTCGGGGCTGCCTCCAGTGCGCCTCGTTACAGCAAATTTTTTGCAATCACTCTTGTTTTTTTTTTAATCTTTTGAGGTGCCAGCGATATGGACAAGGTGGTGATGAAATTTGTATGCTTAGTGGTCCTAAAAACTTTCTTTGCATGCTCCTCATTCTTTTTAGACACTGATGTGTGTAGTTTGCGGTGAAACCTTTCTGATAGTTTTCCTTCTAGAGTTAGGTGTCTTTCGGATCTTTGTAGTTGTAGATGCATTTAAAACAACGCAAAACCTTTCGTCAAACTTGTAGAGCTCCGCTTGTCCATACGCTCGTTCTCGAGCCCAGATTATTCAAACTTTCTACTTCCACCAAAGGCAAACATTCTTAAGAAATAGTGGTCTTTCTTTGATGCTACTAATTATTATGCATCATTAAAAGTTTCAAACTCTTATCTATTGGAATGAGTGGAAGTTAAGAATCAGTAAACTTGTGCACTTTTGATTTTTGCGTAGGCTTCCTTCGAAATGAGTTTAGATGTTTCCACTTCGTCTTTCACACCTACCCGTGCTAGAAGTTAGACGAGAAGCATCAACCAACGCGGGCACGTTTGTCCTGCGGAGGTAGCATGGAAAGCTGACCGGGGCACTCACTATACAATATCTGACAAAGATAGTTTGCATTTCCTGATGAGTCAAGCAAGCTACAATTTTAAAGGATATCCGCCAGCGATCGCCTCGTTTCGTGCATTCACACCACCGCACCAGGCGCGCCTTTTTGGAGAGCCTTTTCAGCCTTATAGTACACTGCAGCGCGCGGGGAGTTTTTTCATCCCTGTCCTTTGACCTCTTTTGTTAATTAAGCATTTCGCATCGTTTTTTTTCTTCTTACTTCTCATTTCAGGCAGTCACTGATTCTCTTCTTTGAAGTTCTATCCATGATTAGATTTACCACTCTGCTTATGGATAATGAAAGGCCAGGGAACAGATTTCTAGTAGATTTCTAGATTCCTTCCTTTTTTATCCATCATACAATCATTTGAATCGTGAACCATCCACTGGGCGTACTTGGGGAAAAGGGTGAGCTTTTTATAAGCAGTGGTCGCTGTCATGCCCTTTCCTTAGATAAGACCATTCAAATGTTTATTTAAGCACACCTATATTTGCCTTTGATGCTGGAATAATCACTTCAGTAGTCTTTTTAAGAAAAATGACGAATTTGAAAAACACAGAAGAAAACGTGCATTTTCAGCTATAGTTACGGTAACCACAACCTGCAACATAAAGAAAACTGAAGGTGACGTCACAAGAAGGCGAATGGGATCCCTTCCCGAGGCTCGCAAATCTCTGCTCCGGGGGTGCACCAGATTTGGAGGAGCCCGGGAGCACCAAAACGCGTGAAATGGGAGGGCTCCGGAGCACGAAATGGCAGACCCCCGCCATTTGCCCTCTGGAGGTATCCCTTCGACTGTCTGAGTTCGTATTCTCCAAACTGACGGTATGCTCTGTCCGCGCACCACCGCGCGCTTGGGGCAGGGCTGCCGCAGCCGCGCGAAGTTTTTGTAGGGTTGTAATTAAGAGGGGGGGAGGGTGGGAGCGTTTGATTTGCATACTAGTTTGTATAATTTTGAATGTAAATCGAAGTTTTGTAAAAAGTGTGCGAAAATTATGTCAATAGAGGAATTTATGTCTTCTCTATGAGCCACCTCAAATGTTCTCCGGATCATCTAATCCCGAAAAGAAATGTTTGCCACAGTTTCGTTCTACACCGCTTCCTCATAACTCTTCATACTTTATATTCCCCATCGCGCACCTACGCACCAACTTTGGTGTATCAATCCTCTTCGTTGCAAATAAACCTTTGTTTGTTTCGGGGCACACTTTTGGACTCCTGCGCTTCCGAACTGAGGTTTTGCAGATAATGGATTAGCAAGGCAGTGAGCACTTGACACTTTCAAAAATAAGGAAGTGGAATAAAAGAAAAGAAGGGTGAGTGTAGGAGGAAGGAGGAAGAGAAACTTGGAAATATGTGCACGAGTTATGTAACAATTGTGATGGCTAAAATTTGTTTTCGGGAGGAATGCTGCAAAAATTTGTTGTACGCTTGGGCGTAAGCTATCCAACTCCTCGCGTTTTTCACTCAGTTAGTTTGTACAAAATTTCGTTTCACTTCCTTGAGTGATTAGAATTCAGAAATTTTTTACCATTCCCGAGACTCCGACTTTGCACAAAGCGATTGGCACTGGCAACTCTTCCATATGCGCAGTATTGAGCATGTGTTTTTCCACGGACTCCGCTGCCCGGACCCCCCAAAAATGATAAAACAATATCCTTTGCTTTTTGCTCCCAAAACAATATCCAGCCTGCACCGCAATGCAGCTGTGCCCTGCAAAATTGAATCCTTTTTCAATACTCATCACTTATGAGGAGTAAGAGTAAATGCCTCTATGCAGCATTCGTGTTTACTCCTACATTTACTCCTCCTTACTTTATTTCAAAGTTTTTCAAGAAGATCATTTTATAATCACAAGCAATTAGAAGCCTGCAAACCTCTCCCGCTATCAAGTTTCTTTTAAAAGTAGATAAACGTCAAGTTTACATCTGATGTAGGAACGAAGATTAATTTCGAGAGTAACTTGGTGGGCCAGCAACAATTTTTGTAGCTATGGGCCGTTAAAGACCGTAATTTGCTAAGAAATAGTGCATGCAATGCGATTTGGCAATACAGAGCCATATTTGGCTTAATGCAGGGCAAAACGTATAGCTGGGTTACATTATAACAGTGCGTCACCTCCGCTTCGCGAAGGTTCGCACTGGCTCTCCTATCCGTATACCTTTCTCATGTTCGCATGAGAATGAGTTTCAAACTCACCACGCAATGCTGAGCATCACAAATGAATCGAAAACAACTGTTCGTTCCTGAAGCATCTCCATGTAAGATCGGTAATTTTGAGAAAAAAGTTTTTGCAAGGAAACAAATGTGATTTCGAACGGATTACTGAATTTATTTTAGATCGATAACCGTCATAAGGATAATAGTCACCTTGGACTATTTTTCAATGCAAAAATCTTTTCAGTTTTTTCAAATAAAACCCTGCCAAATCAACTATCTACGCGTTCATCACTTTTTGGCGCTGTTTTCGCAAAAAAGCAAACTTTTTGAGCACATTTTGGGCTAGAATTCATGGCGCGCAGAGTTACTTGTCAGGCAAATCATAACTTTGCAAAAAGTCTAATTAGCGACCCAGTTCTGCGTGCCGAAAGGCGCGTGGACCCGTGTAACGCGCAAATTTTGAGGGACCCGCTTATCGAACCGGCTTGTCCTTGTGCATAGTGGGCCCACACGCTGGCGCGGTATTTTATGCAGAATTGCAGCTCGATAGCTTAGCTGCAGTTTCCTCTATGGATTTCGTGACAGACAGATTTTCACACAGACACACAGACAGACACACAAAAAAAACAGACGGCCTTAGCGCGTTATTATAGTAGGATTCTTAAAGCCCAAAGGTGAGCTGGAAGTGCAACAATATGCTCTCGCAGTTTTGTGCATGATTTTTTCGCAGTAGAACTGCTCATAAATTCGTCCACAAAGGCGCTCGGCAAATATGGAATACAGATCTCAGCATTGAATGCTGGATTGGCCTTTTCGATTTCTGCCCATTTCCTTGTTAGTAACGCGAAATTTGGATCAGATTAAAAAATTTCTAACATCTGGGCTGCTCATAACAAACATGCTATGCAAAAAAACGAGAATAAGAAACAGATGGAGCCAGTTGATAGCTTTCGGCAAAGATAGGTCTTCAGCTTTCCGTCCTGTCTATGCATGCGAAGTTTAAACTAAATTCCTCAATTTTTTGCATCGTCAGCCGGTTATAAAAAATCCAATAAAATTAAGTATTGATGTCATGTTCAAGGAACTTTAATTTCATGGGATTTTGAGGAGCATTTCTAATTTCTCCTTGAAAGTTTCCACATGTTGCGAGTTTTATAACATGAGTGAAACTAATGTATCACAAAGTTGAAAATCTAATAGTAATAGTCGAAGATACCCACTGAATGCGAACGCGGCAGTGATGATAAGCATCAGCAAGCTTCGGAAATGACACACTGCTACATGAACAAGTCGAGGAACCCGTGCATAACTGAAAGTTACAATTTATAACAACAGCATGTTGGGTATTCAACAGAAGGCTGTTTTGTGGACCACGATGATTTATTGACATCAGGAACAGGAGCCTGCTACCCCCAACGTGTGCTTTCCGGGGGGGGGGGGTGACTTTTCATACGACCGGAGGCTTCGCACCTAGCCTTCGCACCTAACTCACCTACATCGCACCTATCCATCCAGATAATGAGTAAGATTCTCCGCTACGCCTAAGGGCCGCATGCACTAACCTCCCCGTTGGGGAGGGGATCGCAGCTTAAAAGAAAGCTTTATATTTCGAAGTTCCAGATACTTGGATTTCACATTGTGTACCTATCCGTAAGTATTCTTACCACTCTTCACTATGAGCATGTTGATGAGGAGCGAGAAGCTGTACGCACCGCATTTTTCAGCTTTTGTATGATCCCTGATGATCCCCGGCGCTTTTCTTTAGAGTCATTTTTCTTTCTCCGAAGTTAACGAAAATCTTCCAAAGTTGTACTGAACATCTAATACAACAGTGCTAAGCATGTTGCTGATGAGAACAAATGAGTTTTCGAAAAGTCGAATTTTTCGGTAAACCTCAAATTTCGACCTGTGGATCATCGAAAGTTTCATGACTTCAAAACATCATTTGTTTTTATCAGCAGCATGCTTAGCACTGTCGGTTTAGATAATCTGCACAACTTTGGATGTTTTTCGTTAACTTCGGAGAAAGAAAAATGACTTTAAAGAAAAGCGCCGGGGATCATCAGGGATCATACTAAAGCTAGAAAATGCGGTTTGTTCAGCTTCTCGCTCCCCTTCAACATGCTCATAGTGAAGGGTAGTAGGAATACTTACGAATAGGTACACAACGTAAAATCCAAATATCTGGAGTTTCGAAATATAAAGCTTTTTTAAGCTGCGATCCTCTCGCGGCGGGGATGTTAGTGCATGCGGCCCTAAGTGAGGGGAGGGGGGGGGGGAAGGGGGACTTTTCATACGAACGCTCCCCGATCACTTTGACCTTCTAGCGTATGCTAGGATGCCGGTAATACGTCCAGTTATCGATTGCAATGGACTAAAATGAAACGTTTATTATCAAATATGCGTATCGTCGAGTCATTTGTAACTTAATATGCCTAGTGCACAGTCTACACGCTAACTGACGAACTGCAAAAATAGAACATGCTCATTTCCCGTGATTTCTCCTTTATTCCTTACTTCTCTTGTTTTTATTGGTCACATGTTAGTTAGTAGAACACATTTCCACACTTTGTTGGACTAGAAAATGTTTTACTGGGAAGTTACAAGTATGGGTGCCGTCGCTAATAGGGTATAGTGTGCAGTCTCACACATTAAGTTACAAATGACTCGAGGTTAAACTAAAGAATATCTTGATTATTTTGTTGTATAAAGCTTATCGGGTTAAAATAGCGTATCATATTAAAGATCGTCAGGCCACAACGAATTCATTTTCGCAAACAACTGGCACAGTTGTGGTAATGAATAGTTCGCTTTATCGAGTCGCATGCCCTCCAATGATTGTAGATATGTCAAGAGGCGCGATTCCTATAGCCAGATGGGCAGCATATAGCACATATTTAGCGTTTAATAAAGTTCTAGAATTACTTGAAATTTTGAAAGAAATCTATTAGGGAATTTAGGGAATGTTCATTCATCGATTTCAAACAATATTGTTAAAGATCAAAAACACATAAAAATGCAGTTAATAGTAATTTTGTAAATATTTCTGTCAGTTTTCTAGCAAAAGTCGTCAAACTTATCAAGTGGTTACTTCAGACAGCTAGTATGAACTTCGTCCGGCACTATTTGAATTTTCCCATAGCAAACTGGAGTTTTAAGTTGGTGACACCTAGAATCGCGCCTCTTGACAGTTTTCCGTATACAATATCCCCTATGGGAAGAGTAACACTTCCAGGTCATGCTGAAAGGTCGGAGAGGCATGTGACAATACTCAAATCAGTTCAAAACGTTTGCAAAAGAGATCGAATTATGTCGACTTGAATACTAAAAAATTCGTAAGTGGGACGATCATAGTGCTATTTCCACAGCAAAACACTTTTGAATCCATACAGTATTCAACTCTTCCAAATTTATCCATGCAAAAGCTAATCTAGATGTTTTTTTTTTCGGAATGGAGCAAGCAGGCCCAAACCTGGCATGGTGCCAGTTTTTACCGGATCTTTGCCAAAAGATGATGTGGAGGCATTCGTATGAAAAGTCCCCATCCCCCTCCCCCCTCTCTACAGTATACTAGACGCGGAGGTGCGAGACTTGACACTTAGCCGTAGGTGTTCACACCTCGCACGTCGGAATTGTCCATCGTATGAAAAGTTACTCACCCGTGCTTTTCAACTGTGATTTTGATGTTGAAGAGCAGTAACAACTTGCCACATTTCAAACTTTGCTTTCTAATAAGGAATGAATCAATCTACGTTTACGCATATATTTGCTCAAATTTTTGATCCAGCAACGCCACGGTTCGCAACGGGTACATATTCCACACAGCATTTTTTGACGCATTAGCTTCAAGATAAGCTGATGAAGTCTGTGTGCATGTGCAGAAGCCCAGCTTTGTAGAATTGACACATTAGACGTCTCTGTTTTTGATAAAACGCAAATATGTTTTTGATAATATGCAAAAATAATCTCACTAAACCTCGTCTTTCATGTAAAACTTTGCAATAAAAAATATAGCGCCCATACTTTTCGGCCACCCTGTATATCACTAGCAACGCATTTAATCTTGTGTAACTCTTGTTTTCGAGGTAAATAGCGTTTCGTTAGTGTTAAACAGTTGATCTACGGGGAATGTTTAACAATCAAAGCGCAAGGAAATGACAACAAAGAAAATATTTAGTGTTGCAGCGTCAACATGATTGAGAAAAAATTTTGCCAAACCTTCGCTCACACAAGTATTTTCACGTTCAAAGTTCTTCATGCGCATACACATCCTAAATGTCAGAATGCATTATGATTTCATATTTCCGGCTTCCTACATACACTAATAGTACTGAATGCTGCAACTTGGTGTTCCAAATGTTGGTCGTTCAAAAAGGAATGGCTGAATAACATTGAAGGGCTATCTGAAGCACGGACCTTCTCGTTTTCTCGGACCTCCGGACTTTCAATTATACGTAACAATTTGCTGTCCAGATATTTTCATTATTGATTTTGGCTTAGCAAAATGCTGCATGAACGCAATGATGCAGCTAGACATGACAAGAACATCGCTCTGACTTTAATGATTATCTGTTTAGTCGCCAAAACCTGATATATGGCATGAAAATCTGAAAACTATCAGTAACAAGTTTTGTGATCTACTCTTTCCAAATAAGCTAAGTATGTGCTGACAGATTGTATTTAGAGTTCATTCGCAAAAGTAAAACACAGTAGGGTTGATTTTTGCATTTCTCCAAAGAGTTTAAGGTAAAAACATTACCTACTCTCACGAGTACAAGACGCAAGGATTTTTCCTCCAACATCGACCAGCAGAAGACGCCGAAAGGTGTTGCAATACAAACACCTTTTTTCTTATGCCCGCCTGAGAGAGTGGCGTCGGAGAGTGGACGTTCCGCGAGGCATGTTGTTGTAATTCTATGATGCAGAGAACTCTACAATGAGACACTCAGAAGCGCAAGATATTTGAAAAAAGTGAATAGCTGGTCGATGTCTGGATCACCGCCAGGGTCGAGCACAACCGCTGGATACGATCCTTCCTTAACAATAAGTTCCGTCTCGATACCATTATTACTATCATATCATGCTGGGAGTCCACAGGGAGTAATTGAGCATGTTGATTAGGAATACAATAGTGGCTTTCCGAATTATCTGCATCTTTCATCGATTTTATCGATTTTTTTGCAAGTTGATCTCCGGGGCCGGGAGTCACAGGGGGGGGGGGGTAAGTAGGGAGGCATGTTGATCACGAAAAGAAAGCGGCGATAGGGAATTGGCAGGTAGAAGTGGGCACAGGGAAAGGTTTGCACGGGAATAGGGATAATGACATTTGACATAGTGTTTTGACAGGGCCGGGCGGAGCCGGTATGCCAGCTGTGTTAATTATATTTAAAAGTAAATTAGCTACCTCCTTCTGCACTTAATGCAAAGCACTACACCATTTAGCCTATACAAGAATCCTGCTTCAAATAACATCGAACTATGGAATTAGGAGCCAGCCAAAATCTCGTTTGTCTTCAGCTTGCAGTGGTTGCGCTTCCAGCAACTGTTGCTCACGTTGATGGGAGTAGCCAGGGTGGCCGCTTCTACTTTCTGAAGCCGCTTCTTTGAGTTCATTTTTTGCAACAAAATCTGGGCGATTGCTCAATTAGGGGCCGTCAATTCTAGTCGGCGGCTCCTTTGAGCTGCTCATTTTTTTGATGTTTTAGCTTTTGGTACTGAAGCCGTTTCGAGCTTTAACACTTCTGTTGCTAAGGAGTGTCCTTCATTTTTGATTCTTTTCATTTAGCCTATAGCTTGTTGCAGATTGTACTGAAGACACAACTCTATAGCAATTTAAAAGGCCCTTGCCATTTCCAGCAATATTCGCAAAAATACCAGCAATTTGTACCGAGTTCCGGTACAATACCATGTACTGAAGGTTAGGAGCAGAAGACTTGCTTAAGTCCTGCAAATGACTGCCAGAATGTGTTCAGATCTACAGAGGCCACTGAAACTGTTGTCATAGTGCTCAAGATGGATTGTAAAAAAAATTGTAGTTTTACATAGGCTATAACCTGCTGCAAAAAAGTCAAACTAGTTTTCCTTGACTATGAAACATTTTTTTAAACTTTTATCACGAACCAATATTCATGATTTACTATGGGTGGGGAGGGAGAGAGGGATAACCTGAGGTTCTTTTATCACATATCAATTATTGAGGGTTTTATCATCCAAGGGACTGTTACCAGCATGGTCAAATTTCTATAAGCTTAATCCAAACTTCTAATCGGGAGGATCCGATCGCAATGGCAATCTGGTACGAACGGTATA